TCAACCTAATCCATTCATTTATTTATTTATTTTATAGGTCTTGATCATATTTCTTTTTAGTCTTTGCCTTTTCATACACAACAGTCATAATCTTTCATGTTCTACACTCTCGAAAGTGCCTTTCCTGCTAAACCTATCTCTCCAATCATTTTAAATTGTGTTTTCTAGTTCCATCAGGTTTTTTCTTGAGGTTCAGTATCAAGATTGCACATGGTATTTAAGAAACGTATTAGAAATATATGTGTTGTAGAAAAAAAGAAAATGCTTTATGAAAGGTAGGTTACCATTTTCTGTCTTGTTTCTAATACTCCTTCTTGAGGAGCCCTAGCATGGTCTTTTTGGCTACACCTGTCCATTGAGATGACATCCTTAAGGAAGAACTGACAATGGCTCCCAGACTCTTTTCTTCAGTCACAGGGGCTATCAGTTGTCAATCAATGTCAATTACTCCTTGAGGGTATTATATCAATATGCAGATGTAACCAGAAACCCCAACAAATCAGTGGGTATGTATAGAGATAGAGAGCTGGGCCTTGAGTCAAGAAGACCTGAGTTCAAATTAAATGTGTGACCTTGGGCAAGTCACTCAACTTCTATTTGCCTCAGTTTCCTCACCTATAAAATGGAGATAATAAAAGCACCTACCTTCCAGTGTTTTTGTGAGAATAAATGGAGCAATATTTATAAAGCGCTTAGCACGATGCCTGCTACATAGTAGGTGCTTGATAAAAACATTCTTCCTTTCTACCCACTTTAAAACTCACTGGCCACTTCTTTGCCTACTGCTAAACAATCAGTCTGAAGGTTTACTGGAAAGCTGTAATGATAGGCTGTGTATCTGAATCCAAAGTCTGCCCTGCCCACCTTTTCACCCCTGAATTCTTTCAAAACTTCTAGGTAAATGCTGTAGGCCCAGTAATTCATCGACATTATTCTTGTCGATCTGGCTAAGAAAACCCTAGAAAATAACCACTATTTTTTGTAGTAGCAACTTGTCCAGTTCACATGATTGGCAATCTCCCACCAACTAAAAGAGTTCATTCACTGTCAGCCTTATTATCAGTCCCTCAGAGTTCTTTTCAATGGCTTAATTTTTCATTTATACTTCACTGGCCAGGCTTTTGTTGTGGGCTTCTCAGATCTCATTTGGGTTACTCTTCCACTTTTTGGAAATTCCTTCCCCCAACTGTCCTGCAAAATTCTTTTTACTTTGCCAGCTGGGCTTGCACCTGCAATTTCTGATCTTTGCCTACCTCCTAAAAATTATCTTTAGGCTTCTTATAGGTTACTAACTTTTACATTTTTATCTTATTTTTTAAAAATCCAAACTGTACAAAGATTCCTTTGTTTGAAATTTAAACACCTGTGTGATAGATTTCTGGGCTTTGTCAGTACCGAACACAAATACCTTATGTGTAGCAGGCACTTAATAAATGTTTGTTAGATTCCACTCTTGCATTAGGATGCTGAACTAACAACTATAAGAGTAACACTAAATCACCGGGATTGCTTGCTATCCAGTAATCAGAGGATTTAGATATGTCTGGATCCTTAGAGATCCTTCAGTCCAATCCCATCATTTTACAAATGAGGCATTTGAGAGCTGAGATGACTTTTTCAAGGTCCATAGATACTAAGCAGCAGAATCATAATCTAAGCTTTAGTTTTATCATTCTAAGTTTACTGTTCTTTCCTTTATAACCTTGTCGCCTCTTTAAACTAAGTCCAAAACATTTCCCCTCGTCATGGGTTCTTAAACTATCTGTGTAAAAAACACTCCTTTGCCCCAGCTATAACACTCTGCTGCACCTTTCCTCCCAATGATGCATTTAATTTAATTTTTAAAAATAAGACCTGAAAGAAAGGAGGGGGCTAGGTTATGAAGGGCTTTAAAAGTCAAACAGAGGTTTTTATATCTGATCCTGGAGGAAATAGGGAGCCAACAGAATTTAATGAATAGGGCAATGATGTGTTCAGGAAATACAATGTGACAGCTGAGTGGAGGAAAGAGGAGTGGAATGGGGAGAGACCTGAAGCAGGGAGACCAACCACCAGGTTACTGGAGTAGTCTAAGAATAAGGTAAAGAGGGCTTGTAGCAAGGTGGCTGTCAAAGAAGAGGAGGTTAATATCCAAAGAACTTGATAACTGATAGAAGATGGAGAGAGAGAAAAATGAAGAGTGAAGGATCGTATCTAAGTTGTGAGCCTGGGTGACTGGGGGGATAGTAGTGCCCTCTCTAGTAACTGGAAAGTTAAGAGGAGAGGAGGGTTTTGGAGGAAAGATAATGAATTCAGTTTTGGACATGATAATTTTAAGATATCTACGTTGAGGTTAAGATGTCCAATCGGACAAGTTGGAGGTAAAAGATTAGATATCAAGAGAGATTGGGGCTGGACAAGTAAATTTGAGAGTCATCTGCACAGAGGTGATAACTGAGACTATGGTCTGGTAGTCTTTGTTATCTTTTTATTATGGAACCATGTAATATCAACCTAGAGATACTACAGTATTTAATTTTCCCAATAAGATTTTTATTCCTATTTTAATTATCCCTAATTATACCACATCTTTCCCACACCTCTTTATTCTTTCCTGCAGTTTGTAATCTCAAATCATTGTATCTCCCCAACCATCATCAAGTGTCTAAGACTCCCACTAAAGCAAGGCCACTACTTAGTACTAAGTATTTTAATTAATCTGTTTATTTAGGTTTCTTGCATTTATACACCATATTTTGGCTTTTCTGTCCCTTCCATAATCTGTCTGATCTATGAGTTGATGGGTCAGAATTCCTTTTTTCTCATCCTCATACCACTTCTTACATATTTGAGAAAGACTAAAATAAAGCCAATAATAGGCCCACAACCAGATGGTAGCATTTATACACTCATGCAAGTCATAAGCCCAGGTGTACTTTCTGGTATTGGATAACATACACCTGCAATATATTATGGGGGGGAGGGGGACCAACAATAAAATCAACAACCCTCAAGCTCTAGAAGTAAATTATGTAACTAGATAATATTAATTCTCCAAGGGAACTCTTTTCTTACCAGTCTATCCTAGTGCCCAATGGAAAAAAATAAGAAGACAAACTGTTTGAGTCTCATGACTGCCAGTTTCGCTTCCAATACTTATTCAAAAACTTTTTCTTAATTTTTATTCAACGAACATCTATTAAGCACCTGTATAGGCACGGAAACATACCAAACACTGGGAACGCAAAGACAAAAAATGAAACAGGCTTAGCCCTGAAGGACTTCACATTTTCCTTCTTTCCTTCCATTCTTGGAACATGAGGAAAAGGCCAGAAAGAGGAAGAATCATAAAGGACTACACACACACACACACACACACACACACACACACACACACACACTCTAAACAGAAAAAAAACACTGAAAAATATTCAAATTTCAATGAAGTGCAATACATTTTTCTCATGAAAATAATGACAAAACCATGATTCAATTAATTGCATCACATGACTTTTCCCAGATTTTTCTGAGTAACAGTACACTCTGACTTCTGTGTATTGAAATCTACTTGATATATTTATATGTACTTAATTAAAAAAACCCCACCACTTTGATAGCAATTCACATTTCAATACTGTTTAAGGGCTACAAAAGCCATTTCTTCACAAGAACCTTCTAAGTTAGCTAGTACAGACATTATCATCCTTTTACAGATGAAGCTACTGGAGCCTAGAGAGATAGAGTGACTTGTTTTCAGTCACACAGCTAACAAGCAGAGAGTTTGGACTGGAGTACAAGCTTTCGGACTCGCCACTCCTTTGCTCAAAAACCTCTAATGATTCTCTCTCCCTCTGTTGCTTACATGGTAATATAAAAACCTTTCCAGCTTGTCATTCAAGGTTCTCTGTAATTTGGCCTCAATTTACCTCTCTAATCTAATCTCCCATTAATCCTGTGCTCCTTGTTGTTACCCTGACACCATTTATACACTCTCATTTTAGAGCCTTGGCTCATGTGATGTTACCAACAGGGAATTTACATTTCACTCCCTTTAGAACCTGACCTAGCCAAATTCCATCCTTTCTTCAGTCTTGCTCACATCCTACCTCCTCCATGAAGTCTTACCTCATGGCTATAGAGCACACTCACTTCTCCATCCTCTTAGTCCCTACAGTACTACACATTGTTTACTTTGCTGGACCTGCGATAAATACATTGATTGGTAATCTAACAGTGAAAGAACACACCTTATTCATCTCTTCTCATTCTATATCGCTCTTATCCATATCCACTGGAAGTATGGGGGTATTATTCATAAGACACTTTAAGCAGCCTTTTCTTTTACTTAATTTTCATATGTGTATGCCTTTCCTTCCCCAATTAAATTACAAACTCCAAGGATAGGGACCTTCTTTCTGCATACCCATGTTCAGTCTCTAAAACAGTAGGAAATCCAATAAATATTTACTGAATGGATGAACATATATACAGCTTGTATATAGGTACACCCTCTGCTCTTCTGTACTCAGCTGGTCTAGCTGCGAGATGGCAAAACAGGTGTTGTTTGGTGAATTACCTTGGAAAAACTATATATGAAGAGAGCGCGCGCATACGCGCATACACACACACACACACACACACACACACACACACACACACACACACACGTATGTATGTATAGGAGTCTAACTTCATACCACATATTACTGTCCAGAGACAAAAGTTTCTTATGCTTTGACTGTATGTTTGCAAAGAAAAGGTGATGAAAGCTTTCATCTTCATGATTGTATAAACTTCTCTTCTCTCTTTAAAGGTTACATTATCACAATAATATTCACCTCAGTGGGGAATTGTGAGTCTGATTAATTAAATGTCTCTAACGTGATTGCAGATCATAGATGAAAGGAGCTATATAAATGCAAATTTTCATCATTCATCATAAGCACTTTGGGTAAAACAGGTTTAATATCTTTTCATGTTCTTTTTTTAGGAAAATGTTTCAAAGAAAGAATATTACTTACTGCCTTCCCACGTACAATGTAAAAGATTCAAAGCCCCCTCCACCCTCTTCCAGTGCTGAAGATGAAAGAAAGCATAGGCTATTGCTTCACTGTCTCCTCTCTTCAGAATATGTTCTGGGGGTAGGATTAAGCTTTTCATTTCTAGTAGGTACTGAAATAAAAAAAGGCAAGAGACAGATGTGTTAATATACAGTAATTTGGAATTCAACAATGTATACAGAAAGACCAATTTCCCTAAAGTACTATTCATGAGTATTTCATCAAACCTGAAATCTCATTAGAACATTTGAATGCAATTATTGAAATATCCAACCCTTCCAAAGCTTGCTGACAGATGGTTAATGTTGTAGAAGTCTCCTATACTGGGGGCCAGAGAAAATTTCAGTCATAGATCTCTGATCAAAAGAATAATAGACTCAGTCACCATAAAAAAAGACAGATTAAGTTTGGATGCAATTACAGGTACATATTTAATTCTGTAGCCATGATAAAATATGTAAAATGGCCATATATAAACTACAGCATGATATGACAAAACTAACCACTTTAAAGAGACTTACATTGAACAGGAAGGACAGCAATTGATTTTAACTACATGGGTCTGGCAAAGAGAAGGATATGGTACTTTTATCAATTCTAAACTAAGCTATCACTATACTGCTGGTGATTCTATCCTTCCTCCTTATATCTCAGCAGATAACCTTATTCTACTTTACTGGGACAACTGAGACCATCAAAAAATCCTCCTAATATCTTCATCCATTTTCTCCTCCTCTCCAATCTTTGAAGAAAGAGATAAACCTTCAAACTGTCCAAGTAGACCCCTTTACTTTTGCTCTTGGTCTAATCTCATTTCTTCTCTGAGAGCTTGACCTTTCAGTCACTCTCATCTTCAATATGTTCCCATCTACTGGTTCCTTCTCTGCTCCCCACAAATATATTTAGGTCTTACTTGTAATTCACTCACACACACACACACACACACACACACACACACACACACACACACACCACGTTTCTCTTGATTTTATCTCCTTACGCTCTCACCCTATATTTCCCCTACCTTTCATTGCCAAACTCATAGAGAGTTATCTATAATCACTCCACTTTCTCACCTCCAGCTGGGCTTTCAACCCCCATTAGACTTTTAACTGCTAACACTTTCTTGTCAAGGTTACCAATGATCTCCTAGCTACCAAATCAAAAGGACTTTCTCTGTCTTCATTCTCCTTAATCCCTCTATTGTGAAACTATTAAGTATAATCTCCTCCTGAATATTCTTTTCTCCTTGTCTTCTATGACATGGCTCTCTCTTGTTTCACCTACCTGCCTCACCACTGTCTCAGTCTTCTTGGCTAAATTATCATTCATCTCCTTTCCCATTAGGAACCTGTTTGTTCCCCAAGGCTCTTTCCTCTGCCTTTTCATTTTCTCAACTCTTCTTTTTGGTCATCTTATATAATACCATGAATTTTATTAACAATGCAGTTAACTCTCAAATCTATACATCCAACCATAATCTCTCTCCAAACAGTTTGCTGGATATCTATCTTGGGTTTCCCATAGACATTTAAACTCAGCATATCGAAAATGGAGCTCATTATCTTCACCTCTATCTTAAACTCATGTTTTCTTTGAACTATGAATTTTCTGTTAGGGACATTGCCACCTTCCTGGAAATTATATTCAAAACTGTGGAATCATCTTAGAGCTAGGGTTCTGAACCTTTTTTGTGTCATGGATCCTGCTGGTAAAGCCTATGGACCTCTTTTCAGAATAATGCTTTTAAATGAATAAAATAAAATGCATAGGGTTACAAATAAAACCAATTACACTGAAATAAAGATGTAATTTTTTCCATCCTAGTTTACAGACCCCCAGAAATCTATCCCCAGGCTAAAACCCTTTAGAGTCTTCCCTTTCTCTTCCCACATCCAATCAACTCTATAATACCACACTCATATCTTTTCTTATATTTTCCTCCTTGTCTCTACTCAAATAACCACAATTTTTATGCAAAGCCCTCATGACTTCTTGTCTGGACTACTGTAATAGGCTTTTAATTGATCTCTCTAATCTCTCCCCTATCTCATAAATGCCTCACCCAACTTACAAATGATTTTCCTATAAAGCAGATGTCTTATTACATTAATACCCTCTTCAAAAACCTCCAGTGCTTCCGTACTGTCACAGAATAAAAGTACAAATGCCTTAGATGCCACATCACACAATTAATTCCAATAGAATTTTCAGTGCACTAAAATGCTCAAATTTTTTTTTTCCCCGCAGAAGCTGCTGTCTAACACTGCCTCTCTGGTCAGTGTTATCAATTTAATATCAGTTAATAATTATTCATTCTCAATTAATTATCAACCAATAAATCAGTTAATCAATTTAATATCAATTAAAATAAATTTAATCAGTGCAGACATTTACATTTATCCCAGAAAGACACAGACTCATTCTGAAAGCTGCTCTGGACGGGCCAGTCAGAGGGATGAAATTTTCCATTCTTGGCATCAAAAGAAAAACAAGTAACCCAAAACACTGCAATAGGTGTTGGGGATACAAAGATGAAAAATGACTGTTCTTGCCCTCAAGAAACTTATAATCTAATATGACACGTACAAAGCAAGTTGTGTAGAATGTGATGAGACCAAAGGAGATGTCAAAAGAGCTCTAAGGAAATTTAAGAAAGAGAGGAAAAAACCCTTAAGCTGGGGTGGAGGGAAGAGAGAGAAATAAGGGTGCGTATCAGGAAAGGTAAGAAGTAGAGAGCCTTTCATTAGAATGCCCAGAGGGAGAAGAATAGAGTAGGACTGTATGGGCAACACTTAGTAGACAAATCTGACTGGAACAAAAGATGGGTGAAGGAGAATGACGTGAAATAAAGCCAGAAGGGTACGATTATGACAGGGATAAGAGCTGGAAGGTACCTGAGTGACCATCTTGTCCAACTCTTTCATTTTAAAGATGAGGAAACTGAGGATGAGAAAGGATATTACTAGTCCCAGGTCACACAGGCAATAACTGATCAAACCAGGATGCCAATGCGAGAATTCTGATTCCAAGTCTGGAGCCATTTCCACCATATCACATAGATTTCAGAGTGGAGTTGAATTGTGGAGGTCCCTAAAATAACAGCTTATATTCATAAGGCATTTTAACATTTGCCAAGAACTTTACATGTGTTATGCCTCACAGCAACCCTGTGAGGTAAAGATTACAGATACTACTATCTCCATTTTATAGAAGAGGAAATGGAGGCTCGAGGGAAAGGGGCTTGCCCAGGGTCACAGCTAACAAGTGTCTGAAGCAACACTGGAGCCTAGGTCTTCCTGACTTCAAGACCACCACAGTATGCACTATGCCATGTTTTTCTTTCCCCTCATGCCAGGTTAAAGAGTTTGTGTTTTATCCCACAGGTAAAAGGATCTCACTGAAGATTTTTGATCACAGGAGTGCAATGTTATATAACGGCTGGGTTAAAATAAGAATTTGATTCTGACATTAAGATCAACTTATCTCCAAAAATCCTTGTTTTCATCATTGTGGGCACTTTCTTGATTTATACATATCACAACTTTGGAAGCTAGGTGAGATGGTGGATAAAGTGCTGGGCATGGTGTCAGGAAGACCCGAGTTCCAATGTGACCTTCAACACTTGCTAGCTGTGTGACCCTGGCTAAGTGACTTAATTCTGTTAGCCTCAGTTTCTTCAATTGTAAAACAAGAGATAATAACATCACTTGCCTCACCGGATCATTGTGAGACTCAAATGAGATAAGACTGCAAAGTAACCAGCACAGTTCCAGGCCCATTGGAGGTAGTCAATAAATCCCTCCTTCCTTCCTTTTCTTCCTTACTTTCTCCCTGCTTTTCTTTTTTCCCTTCCTTCTTCCTTACCTTCATCCTTTCTTCACTTCCTTCCTCTCTCTCATGCAAAAAGTCTTCATGAGTTGTTTTAGCCAAAAACCTTCACCATCTGTTGGGCCATACTTTTGTATGCTGCCCTGATTACTTAGCTAGGCTGTCCTCAAATGGCTGAATGCCTGAGAGCCCGGGGAGGAGGGGCGGGGAGGGGTCTGTGTTGTAGCCAGCAGGACCTGGGGCTGTGGTTTTTGAGCTCTGGATGTGGTAGCGGTGGCAGCCTGGAGGATGTCTAGTCATAGCTCATGAATCCATTGGTAGAAAGTAAGCTTCAGCACAAGGACTAGTTTTTGCTTTTTCTTTGTATCCCCAGTATCTTAATAAATGCTTACTGATTCAGATTGGATGGGCAGAAAGTGCTGGAGAATACACTATGCTGGCACTGCTCTTGGGAACCCAGGGTCAGCTCTACACTATGAGAAAGCATTAGGGAGTACAAGTTAAGACCAAACACAAAAATAAAAACTGGCTCATCTGTCCAAATTTTAAAACAAGTTAGATTTGGAATTTATGAGAATCAGTCAGAAGCTAAATCAAAAATAAAATATGCTTTGCTTCCTTCTGGTCTCATTTGGTTTGGGGAAATACTTATTTTATGATTTTTCATGAGAATCTGTATGTGAAAAAACTGTTCTTTTAGCCTAGTGAACTGGAGAGCACTAAAGGAAAGAGACCTATGGAGGAAGAGGGCCTGGCACCAGTAAATGGGGTGGAGTCTATGTAAATTTTGGGGCCAAAGAGAATTTGGGAAGGCCTAGTTATTTAAGAAAATTGTTTGCAAAATAATGCTTTTGAGCCTCTAGTAACATACAACCCCCACTCCTGAAATATCACTCCCCAAAGTTTTAGGATCTATGCCCACATAGCTGGTGTTATAAAACTAACCAAAGCAAGTTCACACCATGGAAACCTAACTTCCTTCTCATCATATGGATTTTATGTCTAAACTAGGCTATGCCTATAAATTAGATTTATATTCTTGTATGGTTCCAAACACAATGTTGGCCCTAACCAGATAATGAAGACTAATAACAACAATGTGCTATTTTTTGGCTAAAGTTAAAATGCCTGGCACGATCCGTTCTCAACATGTGCAACATTTAAATTAGAAAAGCATGGAACAACATTTCACATCTTACATGTCAAGAGAAAAATAAATGGAAGAGGGCAGATCCCTATCCACAAGTATGCAGAAATCAATTAGAGTAACTGAGGCTTGAA